TGGAGATATGTTCATGAAGAAGTCACTCATGTTTAAGTCAAAGTGATTTTTGCCTATGTTTTTTTCTAAGAGTTTTATGGTTTCATAACTTACATTCAGGTCCTTTTTCCCTCTTAGGACATTTGCTACAAGATCCTATTGCACCCACCAACTCTACCTGCCAACACTATGTCTGCAAAACTTGTAAAGGCAAGAAAATGATGATGAAACCTTCATGTAGCTGGTGCAAAGACTATGAGCAGTTTGAGGAAAACAAGCAATTAAGCATCCTAGTGAACTGCTACAAAAAACTATGTGAATATATAACACAGACTACATTGGCACGGGATATAATAGAAGCAGTCGACTGTTCCTCTGATATTTTGGCTTTGCTTAATGATGGATCATTGTTCTGTGAGGAGACAGAAAAACCCTCAGATTCATCCTTTACTTTGTGTTTGACACATTCCCCTTTACCTTCGACCTCAGAACCCACAACTGATCCTCAAGCTAGTTTATCTCCAATATCTGAAGGCACCCTCAGCATTGCTATTGGCAGTTCTGTTATCAATGGTTTGCCTACTTATAATGGGCTTTCAATAGATAGATTTGGGATAAATATTCCTTCACCTGAACATTCAAATACGATTGATGTATGTAACACTGTTGACATAAAAACTGAGGATCTGTCTGACGGCTTGCCACCTGTCTGTGACACAGTAGCCACCGACTTATGCTCCACAGGCATTGATATCTGCAGTTTCAGTGAAGATATAAAACCTGGTGACTCTCTCTTACTGAGTGTTGAGGAAGTACTCCGCAGCTTAGAAACTGTTTCAAATACAGAGGTTTGTTGCCCTAATTTGCAGCCCAACTTGGAAGCCACTGTATCCAACGGACCTTTTCTGCAGCTTTCTTCCCAGTCTCTTAGCCATAATGTTTTTATGTCTACCAGCCCTGCACTTCATGGATTATCATGTACAGCAGCAACTCCTAAGGTAGCAAAATTAAATAGAAAACGGTCCAGATCAGAAAGTGACAGTGAGAAAGTTCAGCCACTTCCAATTTCTACCATTATCCGAGGCCCGACACTTGGGGCATCTGCTCCTGTGACGGTGAAACGAGAGAGCAAAATTTCTCTTCAGCCTATAGCGACTGTTCCCAATGGAGGCACAACACCTAAAATCAGCAAAACTGTACTTTTATCAACTAAAAGCATGAAAAAGAGTCATGAACATGGATCTAAGAAATCTCACTCTAAAACCAAGCCAGGTATTCTTAAAAAAGACAAGACAGTAAAGGAAAAGATTCCTAGTCATCATTTTATGCCAGGAAGTCCTACCAAGACTGTGTATAAAAAACCCCAGGAAAAGAAAGGATGTAAATGTGGGCGTGCTACTCAAAATCCAAGTGTTCTTACATGCCGTGGCCAGCGCTGCCCTTGCTACTCTAACCGCAAAGCCTGCTTAGATTGTATATGTCGTGGCTGCCAAAACTCCTATATGGCCAATGGAGAGAAGAAGTTGGAGGCATTTGCTGTGCCAGAAAAGGCCTTGGAGCAGACCAGGCTCACTTTGGGCATTAACGTGACCAGCATCGCTGTGCGCAATGCTAGTACCAGCACCAGTGTAATTAATGTCACAGGGTCGCCAGTAACGACGTTTTTAGCTGCCAGTACACATGATGATAAAAGTTTGGATGAAGCTATAGACATGAGATTCGACTGTTAAATTTGTGGGTCTTTAAACCTACCTCTGGTAGGGAAATAGCTACAGTTTTACGGCAGCTATGGTTTTGTTGGTTTAATAACTTGCCGGAGCTCCTGCATATAGATCACTTGTATCAAGTGTTTTCATTGCTAAGTTATATGTGTTAGTGTCGGGGAAATAGTTTGCATATAATGGAGGAGTAACCCTACAACTATATGTCTTTAGTTCTTACAGAACCTCATAGTTTGAGAACAAATGCTGATGCAACTGATTTATACAAAATGAACTTTGGCAAGGAAAATAACATTAACCTCATTGTTTATGGTCATGCTTTGTGCACAATCAAAGTTTATGATTAATTGTAAGGAAGTGGTACTAGTCAGTTCATAAAGATTGTGCTAATTTTTTTGTGGAAAAAGTAGCCGTTAGGTTTGTTCAGGAGACTCAGTGCTGCCTTCAGATGCCATTGATGCTTCTCCTGTTGAAAAGCTGATGTGTCCAGCTCAACCTTTGTGCTGACATACCATTTCTAATCATGAAAATCGGCTACAGGTGTATGTAGCAGTTCGTAAATCAGCAGTATTATGAAAGAAAATTTGCCCATTAGAATGTTGAAGAAATCTGTCTTTCAAAAGTGAACAAACTGAAATTCCCTCAGACCCCAGATGTTTAGCTACAAAACTCTTTAACTAGTTGAGCCCCTTTTTAGTTGTCTGACTTCTTTCTAGGGAAAAAAATTCAAAATCTTAGATAAGTGAAATGGAGAAGAGCAGTTTTATTCTGAAAGTATTTGAATTTAGTTTGTGACAGAATTTTTAAAAAATTGTAAAAGTGTTTTAGAAATTGGAATTTATTTAAAATAGGTCTGGAATAATGCCTCCAGACTTATACGGATTTATGCATTATATGTATTGCTATTGGCCACTTTGATTTTTGTTTCCTCTAGTAGTTTGCCGTAGAGTTTATGTTGAATACGCTCCTTTTTCTTTTTCTTTAGGGTGCTATTTTTTATGAAGGCTTCTTTATAGAGGTCTAATAAAAATGCCTTTTGAAGCCTGTGCATTTAGGTAGGTTTGAACCTAGGAGGATTTTTTTTCTTTAGGATGCTCTTTTGCATGTAAAGCACAAACCATTTCAGTTTAAACACACTTCTTCCCTTTGTTTTTTTACAGGGAAGACAAGTGAGTTACAAACAATCTGTTGAAGGGAAATCTAGTCAGTTGCTTAAAAGAGCACAGCCCAAATAAAACAAGGACTGACTAGATTATAAAGAAATGACCCTCTGATTTAAAAGAAGAGTTGCTGCTTTGACAGTACTTATTTAAAGAAAAATACTGCTGGAAATTTTCCAATTTCTACTATGTTCACCATCTCTCATGAGATCTGATATATGTTGAAGTTATGTTTTGATTTGGCACACAGCATGTTCAATGATGGTTACTCATCTAGTACAGACATGGAGAAGAAACCTTTGGACACAGAGCAGATGACACCTCCCTCTGTTGTGTAGTGTATCCTGGTGTCATTTTCTGTGAATGTGGTCAGGTAGAATTGTTTATGTTGTTGTTGGACCTTTTT